AGTAAACTGTCGTTGGATGTTTGCAGCAAGCAGGTTGTGTGTATGTGAGACTTGGTCTTGAAGAATTAGACTCTCTTTCGGTTCAATACAAGGACATAATGTGAAGACTGTAGAATTACATACAAAAGATGAGGTAATCAGTCCCTCATCTAAGGGACTGATCACCTCATCTTTTGTATATACTTCTACAGTCTTCACATTATATCCTTGTATTGATAAAGCCACTGTCTGGCGAAACGTCTACAACTAAAGATACCCGGATATGACACATGTGTCTAATTTTTCACACTGTCGGTACTGCATATAATTTATGTACAGATCAGGTCTTACATAATATATTCTGACAAGCACCTCGAATGATTAATGACTGAGGTTGTTAACGACTGTCAGCTTAGCACCAGCCAAAGTGCCACTGAGTCCACCATCACGAAATGACGACAGTATACACTGATTTAACCCATTATTTGGTGTACTTAGAGCAGGTGGCATCCCAGAGAGCGTCTTTGGTTGTCAGATATTTATGTACAACTCTGGAATTAATCTAGATAGCTTGATGAGATACCGTATTTTCCGGCATATAAGGCGCACGAGTATTACAACATTATTGCTATAATGAACTTCATATCCTTTTATGAAACACTAATTGACAGAAACACAAAGGCCCTGACCTTGAGCATATAAGACCCAGGGTGATTTTCCAAGACTTTTCTTGTGAAAAAAAGTGCGCCTTATATGCCGAAAAATCCGGTAGCTACTACACTTGGTTGTCTAAGAAAAGAAAATGGAATGTGGTCAAATGTTACGAATCATCCATAATTGTTAAGAAACAGCGATGTCGACTGACATTTAAAATTTATTTTTTTTTTATGTAAATTAAGCACAGATTACGCAGGCAGAAGTCAGTTGAATCAAGAAAAACTGTAGTAACAGTGACGCAGAATGTAAGTCTGCTCAAAGCAGCATTAAAAAAAGAATGTGCTGTATCGTTTTATATCGGAAAATATCGGTTCTCACATTCCCTTTCTTTCTTCTGTTGTTCTCTTATTGATTTTATATATTTTCTCTTTTGTTATTTTTACCTCTCGCATCTGCTTTCTGTCTGTCTGTCTGTCTGTCTCTCTCTCACTATCTCTCTCTCTCTCTCTCTCTCTCTCTCTCTCTCTCTCTCTCTCTCTCTCTCTCTCTCTCTCTCTCTCTCTCTCTCTCTCTCTCTCTCTCTCTCTCTCTCTCTCTCTCTCTCTCTCTCTCTTACACAGGGTTTGTCAAGGTTAGGTTAAGGATTCCTAACTTTATTGGCAAGCTAAGATCTGTTACTTACATCAGCTCATTTGAAAGCATTTTTATTGTTATGTAACATACAAGTAGGGAACAGGATGACGTTGGAGCCATCTGTGGACCAGCATTTTCATTTGATCAACTGACTTTATCTCTTTGACAACATAATGTTGTATGAATGTGTTCCATACTCGAGTCATTCTGGAGATAAATGATCTCAGATGAAGTGATGTTCTGGAGAAGGGTACAGCAAGAGTGAAGTTGCTGCTTTCTGCCCGTCTTGTGGCATAAAAGCTTGTTTCACGCTGTCCTCGAAGTGGATCCAAGTGTGGTACTTTGACAATATTGGCCTTGTACATAACAATAAGGCCACCCACATCCCTCCTGTGTTGAAGGCTCTGCTGAAATAACAGATCTATCCAGGATGGGTCCAGGCGAGAGATGAGACGCCTTGCTCTGTTCTCTACTCTGTCAAGCAGTCGCAGATGAGAGGGAAGGGGGGCAGGCAAACCAGGAAAGTGGAGCATACTCAAGGTGTGAGCGTACTTGTGCCTCATACAGAATCTTGCAACCCCTACTATCAAGCAGATGCGAGATACGGCGAAGTGCTGTAAGCATCCTGGCTGCCTTGTTTGCAAGATTTACAACGTGGTTCTTCATGATCAGTTTGGAGTCAGATTTCACCCCAGGTACCAACACCCTCCCATTCATACTACTGCACCGGCATTACCATCATGATGCTTAGAGACCATCATCATTTGTGTTTTCTCAGGCGCAAATGTTACCTGCCATCGGTTTCCCCAATCTGACATAGCTCTTAGCTTAGGGCAGCTGGCATTTCTTCTCTTGGATAAGTGCATATCTGAGTACAGTCGTCTGCAAATGCATGGGATTCTGGAATGAGATGAAGAAGGTCATTGAAGTAGACATTCCATAACAATGGTCCCAGCACACTTCCTTGTGGAACACTTGCCCCAGTAGGATGTCTTGCTGATTCTGTTCCATTGAGAACTACCCTTAGAGATCTACCATGAAGGTAATCACTGAGGAGACATAGCGTAGAGCCTGCAATTCCCAGTGCTTGCAGTTTTGCCAAGAGACCCTGGTGCTACACTCGGTCGGAAGCACCAGCAATGTCCAGTGCTACCACACAGCTGACTTTGGATTCATCCAGTGACTGGTGCCATTTAGTGGAGAGGTTTAACAACAGATCAGGAGCAGAATAACCTTTCCTGAAGCCCTACTGATGGTCACAAAGTAGTGAGTGGTAGTCAAAAAACTCTGTCATTTGTCTGGAGATTATTGTCTCAAGGATCTTGCCAGTGATTGACAAAAGTGACACTGGTCTGTAACTGCTGATTTCTGTTCTGCTTTTCTCTCTGTCTCTCTCCTCCATCATACTGCTTCTCAACAACACATCGCGAAACTTGAGCATCAAAATATTGCTGGGTAAGGAAACAAGGTGATGATGGTGGCTGTGTGAATCATCTCTTCAGCAGCAGCCAGACGTGATGCAGGTGATGCTGAGACTCACTCGTGATTGTTGATGCTTCAATCCTCACTCCTGATTGTTGATGCTTCCATCCTCACTCCTGATTGTTGATGCTTCCATCCTCATTCGTGACTGTTCTTGCTTCCATCCTCACTCGTGATTGTTGATGCCTCCATCCACACTCCTGATTACTGCTGCTACTATCACTCCTGATTGATGGTGGTCCCAGGGTTTGGATACAAAGGTTGCAATACGTCTTATTTCACAGTTCAACTCAACACTTAATACCTTGTAAAGTTTGGTCCCAGAATCCTTTATTACAGAGTGAGCGAATAACTAAATATTTTTATATAATGCATCACGTACATGTTGGACACAGGGTGGCGCTGGAGTCATCTGTAAGTCAGTTTCCATTTATTCGTTAAACCTGCTTTACCGAATATCGTTTTGCTGTGAGATTATTCTCCACATGCGAGTGAGGTAGTGGACGAATGATCGCTGGTGGTACTCTAGGTGGTGTTACACTAGGTGGTGTTACACTAGGTGGTGATACACTAGGTGGTGGTACACTAGGTGATGGTACACTAGATGGTAGTACACTGGCTGGTGGTACACTAGGTGCTGGTACTTTACCTGGTAGTACACTGAGTGTTGGTATACTAGCTGGTGGTACACTAGGTGGGGGTTAACTAGGTGGTGGTACACTAGCTGGTAGTACACTAGGTGACGGTACACTAGGTGACGGTATACTAGCTGCTTGTATACTAGAATGATTCTTGTTGACGAAGTTAAGCAAGGTTGGGCCAGTTGCATAGCATAGTACGACGCTTACCTGCCAAGCTCCTTCTGTGTTGTTTTGGTGGTCATCGCCCCTACAGCCGAGTCCCAGACCAGGCTTGACCATAGCAAGCCTGTTTCATAACAGTAAGGATGCCGACGTAAGAGGTCCAAAGAGTCGAGACTTTAAGTCGATCTTTAGTGACTCTCTCTCTCTCTCTCTCTCTAAGAGTTTATACTAACCTGGCATTAACTTGGTGGCTTAATATAATACCGGGTTATCAGACAAACATTGGAGACCTCTTTATCACAAATGAAATAAATGAATACGAAGGAGAAGTAGAGTTGAGATAGGTAATATAATGTCAAGGCTGTCGGGAACCAGTAATGCCAGCCAAAGTAGCTTACCAGGTCAAACACGAACCCTGCCAGCACAAGCTGGTGAAAATGTAAAGGTGAACACACACACACACACACACACACACACACACACACACACACACACACACACACACACAGACAACACACACACACACACACACACACACACACACACACACACATACACACACAGGAACCATACATAGTTTTAAGAAGAGGTATGACAAAGCTCAGGAAGCAGAGAGAGAGAGGATTCAGTAGCGATCAGTGAAGAGGCGGGGCCAGGAGCTGAGTCTCGACCCCTGCAACCACAATTAGGTGAGTACAATTAGGTGAGTACACACACACACACACACACACACACACACACACACACACACACACACACACACATACACACACACACACACACACACACACACACACACACACACACACACACACGCATGCACATACAGCAGGCCTAGTGTCTAATCGACATGTGCCTAGGACCAAATGGTAATTAACACACACACGTAAACACACAGTGATAAGTAACCACCATTTATGTTTTGTTTCAAGCCTGTTGTTTTGTACTGTGTGTGTGTGTGTACTCACCTAGTTGTGGTTGCAGGGGTCGAGTCACAGCTCCTGACCCCGCCTCTTCACTGACCGCTACTCAGTCACTCTACCCGCTCCGTGAGCTTTATCACACCTCTCCTCTATTCCACTTCCTGACTACTCTGCGACTGAAGAAATACTTCCTAACATCCCTGTGATTCATCTGTGTCTTCAACTTCCAACTGTGATCCCTTGTTGTTGTGTCCCATCTCTGGAACATCTTGTCACTGTCCACCTTGTTTATTCCTCTCAGTATTTTATACGTCGTTATCATGTCCCCCTACCTCTCCTCAGGTTTGTGTGTGTGTGTGTGTGTGTGTGTGTGTGTGTGTGTGTGTGTGTGTGTGTGTGTGTGTGTGTGTGTGTGTGTGTGTGATATCCATATGTTTTTATTTAAATTCGTCCATTTTTTGTTTGTCAGTATGTTCTGTAGTTGTGATTATTGTGTATTTTTACTAATAAAAAAATCATTCTTCCTTTCAGAGCGTCAGCGACACATCTTCGGCTGAATAAAAGGTAAATTTGCTGCATATATAATATATACCATCAATAAAACTATCTCTCTCTCTCTCTCTCCTCTCTCTCTCTCTCTCTCTCTCTCTCTCTCTCTCTCTCTCTCTCTCTCTCTCTCTCTCTCTCTCTCTCTCTCTCCTCTCTCTCTCTCTCTCTCTCTCTTATTTCTCTCTCTATGTTCTGTCGCTAATCATTTGTTCAGGGTACTGTGAATCATCTTCTATATTGTTCCTGTATACTGGCAGCAGACCATTATATACGGGCTAAGGATGTGCTATAATATCGGTATCGGCCTTAAACCGAGTAGTGTATTGGTATCGGCAAAAAAATTGGTATCGTCCCATTCTTAATACAGGCAGTGGTACATTGTAAACAGTCAGTAGTACATTGTATACAGGCAGCGGTACATTGTATACAGGCAGCGGTACATTGTATATAGGCAGTGGTACACTGTATACATAATTAGATTACCTTCAACAGTTGTAAATTTTATAGAACAATAATACATCAGTATATACAGATAGTATTATATCCAGCAATAGTGCATTATATACAGGAGATGCATTAAACAAGTAGTAGGTCAATTAACTATTATCATGATAATAAGAGACTGTAGCGAGGAGCAGTCACGCTCATTTTCGGAGATTCTCTCTTTTTTGATCCCATTAAAAAAAACGAGAGTAAACGAGGACCTTTCGATGAGTCACAGGATCAGTGGAGTTCACCTTTTGTCCTATGTATGATTTTTTTTCTCTTTATAGGTCATAGTAATTTAAGAAGAGCGACTTGGCTTGTCTTTTTTGATGTCTGTCATGTGGGAAGACCAAGGACGCTCACGTTTATTTGTATTCAATTAAGTATTCCTTGGCCATTGTTCCCAGTTGTAAGTGACGAGAGCTACGCTCTCTCGCTCTCTCTCTCTCTCTCTCTTTCCCAGGTCTTCCTTCGTTCGTGTTTGTCTTCTTTTAATATTCCACACGCTTCGCTTAACTGCAAAATCGGCGACATTGGTTTTTTATTTTTTTTTTTTTAAATTTCACTCTTCCATTTTTTATTATTAGATTTAAATATTTTTCCAGCGGGGATGGGCCAGTGCGCCATCTGTCAGGATTCAGCTGGTGAAGTGACTTAATAGATCCACAGCTAGCTTTTAGAACCCAGCTGTCAGGTGCCATCTGTTTAGAAATAAACGTTAGAACCCGGATATCAAGAGCCTTCTGCCTCTATCACGAGTAAGGATTCAGCTGTCAGAGAACGGCTCTCTATATATTGAGGTGTTGGGATCCAGCTCTCAGAGTCAGTCCCAAACAATGTAGTTGTTCAGCTCCATAGTCTTGAAGAGTGTCATTGTTCAACTCCATAGTCTTGAAGAGTGTCATTGTTCAGCTCCATAGTCTTGAAGAGTGTCATTGTTCACCTCCATAGTCTTGAAGAGTGTCATTGTTCAACTCCATAGTCTTGAAGAGTGTCGTTGTTCAACTCCATAGTCTTGAAGAGTGTCATTATTCAGCTCCATAGTCTTGAAGAGTGTCATTATTCAGCTCCATAGTCTTGAAGAGTGTCATTATTCAGCTCCATAGTCTTGAAGAGTGTCATTATTCACCTCCATAGTCTTGAAGAGTGTCATTATTCAGCTCCATAGTCTTGAAGAGTGTCATTATTCAGCTCCATAGTCTTGAAGAGTGTCATTATTCAGCTCCATAGTCTTGAAGAGTGTCATTGTTCACCTCCATAGTCTTGAAGAGTGTCATTATTCACCTCCATAGTCTTGAAGAGTGTCATTATTCACCTCCATAGTCTTGAAGAGTGTCATTGTTCAGCTCCATAGTCTTGAAGAGTGTCATTATTCAGCTCCATAGTCTTGAAGAGTGTCATTGTTCACCTCCATAGTCTTGAAGAGTGTCATTATTCACCTCCATAGTCTTGAAGAGTGTCATTATTCACCTCCATAGTCTTGAAGAGTGTCATTGTTCAGCTCCATAGTCTTGAAGAGTGTCATCGTTCAGCTCCATAGTCTTAAATAATGTCAGGATCTAGCTTTCAGATCCAGGCGTCAGAATTCAGCTATCAGAACCCAGCCATCAGAATTCCTGTGCTCGTATTAGCCCCGAGTTATTTCACTTGCAGACTACGTACGTCAGAATTTGCACTGTGGTGCGATAAGAGTCATGTTGAGGATTTAGAGCAGAAGCTGAGACTAAAATGATTACTCAATATTTTATTGATGATCCTCAAATGATGATGATTACGTACTATGATTATAGGTACAAAGGCAGGCAAAGAAACACAAGTTGTGGGCATCAACGAGTCGGAGTTAAAGAAAAATTATTTCTACAATTAAAGTTTAAATGCATGTAGCCTGATAATTTTAATTATTGCTACCATCAGCAATTTATTCCAAATATTTGTGTGTCAAAAACGCAGATATTTGCTGCGTTGCAACGAATTTGTTCCCCTACAGGCCTACAGTTTCAAAATCACTGTCGTGCTTGGTCATAATTCAATAATTTTTCGAATAAAGATTGCAATTTCATCATTTTCAATAATTGTATCAAGTCGCCTCGTCATGACAATGACGTACGAAACGTGTTTTTCTTCCATTTTAATAAGACCAAGACGATTGTGAATCCTTCCCCACCTCCTGTGATAAATATTCCCCCCTCACGTAATACCCCTCTACACCCTCAAGTTCCTCTCTTCCCCTCATACCAATGTCTTCTGAGGGGATGAGCTAGAGGGTCAAGACCCCTCTATCAAAGGATTTAATAAGGATCTGTACCGGTGTCGTCCTCTGAGATGAGACACGGGACACAACAGATTTAAACGCCAGGATAATAGTAATTCTGTTCCACCATTATTGTCTGTAGGAAATATAACTATCTTTTAAAATACAGAAGTGCAGTGCTAATTACAGAGATTAATAAATAGTTACAGCTATACTGAACATACCACTTTGTTGTATTAGTAAAATAAAGTAGCGAGTGTAAATAAGGATTGACTGTTGGTGTTTGTATATGCCAGGAGAATATTTTAATTCCTGTAACCTCTGTATCCCTTGATAAAGCTCTGCACGGAACCAAACTTTGTCCCAGTGGAACTTTTCTTGTCAACTTAGATATATCTGCATCGTGGAACTTTAAAATTGTTTCAGTAAGTCTCTCATTTTTTTACAGGCATATGAACTTTACATTTAAATAGTGGTATGTAATAGCGTTAATAGCAGCAATAAAGTTTAATATATTCCTATATTCTGTATTCTGCACTATATGGAATACACAGTGCAGAATATTCATAAATATTACGGTGGGATATACTGGGATAGAAGACCCTGAGTATCTGCTGCTGTGCCTTCACTTACTTAAAGTAATTATATACTGTATATAGTTTTATTTTACCCCTCCTTTTCACTTAAGTAGGAAACGTAAGTTTGATAGCCAACGATAGCGGACTATCGTTGGCTATCCAACTGTTATTCGCTTCGCTAATTGATCCATACTTACTATAATAGAATCATGTTTATTTTGATGAAGATGTTGCCCCTAGTGGCCATCTTTGGAGAGAGAGAGAGAGAGAGAGAGAGTGAGGTACAATCTAACTTTCTCTAACACTGGTCTGTATATTTGTTTTACGGGCGGGTCTAGTAAGCTCTTTAGTAGAGCACATTTTTTTTTTCCGGAAGGTTCACTGCCCTTTTACAACTTTGATGATAGTCTCTCTCTAAAATGAATTAAGATTATCGCTTGAGATCCTACATGAGGGATTCCTGCTTGATGGCAGTGTTGCATGACCATCACTACCGTTGACGTCTCTCTTGTAATGTGTGCTGTTGCAGCCACAGTATTGTGTTGCACCCACGGCACTGTATGTATGTGTGTTAGTTAGTTAGTTATTTACCATTTGGTCCTAGGCACATGTCGATTAGACACTAGGCCTGTTGTATGTGTGTGTGTGTGTGTGTGTGTGTGTGTGTGTGTACTCACCTATTTGTACTCACCTATTTGTGGTTGCAGGGGTCGAGTCACAGCTCCTGGCCCCGCCTCTTCGCTGATTGCTACTAGGTCCTCTCTCTCCCTGCCCCATGAGCTCTATCATACCTCGCCTTAAAACTATGTATGGTTCCTGCCTCCACCACATCACTTTCTAGGCTATTCCATGGCCTGACTACTCTATGACTGAAGAAATACTTCCTAACATCCCTTTGATTCATCTGAGTCTTCAACTTCCAATTGTGACCTCTTGTGTCTGTGTCCCATCTCTGGAACATCCCGTCTTTGTCCACCTCGTCTATTCCGCGCAGTATTTTATATGTCGTTATCATGTCTCCCCTGACCCTCCTGGCCTCCAGTGTCGTCAGGCCGATTTCCCTCAACCTTTCTTCATAGGACAATCCCCGTAGCTCTGGGACTAGTCTTGTTGCAAACCTTTGCACTTTCTCTAATTTCTTGACGTGCTTGACTAGGTGTGGATTCCAAACTGGTGCTGCATACTCCAGTATGGGCCTGACGTAGATGGTGTACAGAGTCTTAAACGAATCCTTACTGAGGTATCGGAACGCTATCCGTAGGTTTGCCAGGCGCCCGTATCAATATTTGCTGGCTTAACACAAGTACCAATATTTGCTGGCTTAACACAAGTACCAATATTTGCTGGCTTAACACAAGTACCAATATTTTCTGGCTTAAAACTAGTACCAATATTTGCTGGCTTAACACAAGTACCAATATTTTATGGCTTAACACAAGTATCAATATTTGCTGGCTTATCACAAATTTATCACAGTCTTTGACAGGTCACACACACGTTTGTGTATGTGACTGTTCGTCCAGACTGTTGTATAGAAAATGTTCTTACAATATTTCTTATGTTCCTCCTATTTTAAGCGTCTTGAACCGAAATCGCCCAACATCAACTTGTCCAGGACCAGGTTTGAAACGTTTTGAATTTAGAGTTGAATTTTCAATATCGGATATTGACGCTGCTGGGACCTTGTATCCGGTGGTTTA